AGAAAAAAATCACAAATCGAATATTCCCTAGCACGAAATAAAGAAAAACTCAACAAAAATCTAATATTCAAAAAATTGAGCGTTTCTAAAGGTCTACAATCACTTTCAAAAAACAATTGAAAATGCATTGAAAAATCTTTCTAACTTTGCAAGTTAAGTGGAAACGCGGGGAACGCCGCCGTCTGGACAACGAACAGCCTCGTCAGCATCAGGGAGTACACGACCAAAACAACTTCATATCGATCATAACACGGCTTTTTGCCCCGTTCCGCACTCTATTAAGAAGCATTGGCTCCATAAAATTAAAAACTCCAAATATGAACATTAGACCCGTCATCTTTGGTCCGGCGCCAACAAATTCTACACTTCTAAGCGTATCACGTGCCCATCACGCTCACAATTTGCACTTAGTTGATTGAATGTCCGGGGGGGGGGGATGTGACAGTGTGTGTAGCGAAAATGCATACGAACTTTTGGCAACAGGCCAATTTTTCCAAGAAAAAGGAGCAAATTTTGAAGCTCCTATCCACAGCTTCAGTCCAAAAAGCTTTCCATAGAAAAGAGCTCTTGGACATTGATCAGGAAAATGCACTTTCGCTGTTTTTTTCCGCGCAAATGACATCGACGAAACGAAAAAACGCGGAACGATGTAACAAAAAGGTGAAGGGCATCGTTCTCACGTATTATGTGTATTTCCAAGACTAACAAGATAACAATCAACATATTCAACATATTCAATTAGCTTTCATTAGATGAGCATGAGAATCAAACTGGACCATGACAGGACAGAAGGAAGAATGATGAAAAAAAGATGAAATGATGAAGATGAAGAAAAAGCGGGGACAATCCCGCAATGCTCTGGATAATTACCCATATGCCAACTCAAGCTATACGACCTTTTCCATCAAGATTGCCATGCGAAATAAGATTTCCTTCTCTCTTGGTTTCCATGGAAAGCGTAGAGGAAATGATGGGAATAGGAATTTTCCCTCACTAACTTATGGGAGAAATCTCTTTGATGTGAATTTTCTATTCACACTGGCTTTGCATAAGTTCTTCACTTAGTTAATAATTCCATTAATAAACTCAGACGAGCAACGACATTTCGAACTTCCCGAAAAATTTTATTCTTTACTCTTTTCTTCTATTCTTTTCCTTTTATTCATACTGAATTTCAGAAAAAATAATATGATTAGATTGGAAGGGAGAAGGACCAGCATAGTTTACCTACACGCAAAAAATTGATAAGAATGAAATATCAAGGGGAAGAAAAATTTCACAAACATAGATGCATATCCACCTTGCTATGAATGGATATAATACGCTTTTGAGTACTGAATCAATGAAAATAATCGGCTTCATAGGCACACGTGACTAATTTGAATTTTTAAGAAAATTTTTGAATTAGTTTTCTTATTTGCAAGCACAAAATAAGTCACTTGCGCAATTTTACAATTAATGTTTGCAATTGGCTCGCCACTGGATTCAGCTTAATTTCGGAGAAGAATCAACAAAGAACTGCTTGCTCAAGTAGCCCGAATATTCACTAATTTTCAAATAAATGCTTCCAAAAGATAAAATAAACTTGCTCAAGTCTAAATTAAAAAACCAACAATCAAGAAAAGTTCCTTGCAATCTAATCGACTCGCTCCATTTGCTCTTCGACTAGCAATTGCCTCTCGTCCAACCTATTATCCCGTGCACCACAGAAATCAACTCTCAATGCATCGAGAACGCGCACATTTATCGAACCGTGTTCGATGAGATGCAAACGCGCCGACAATTTCTGCTGAACGCAGCATGTTTTCTATCGAATCTATCAATCTGACTGCGATCGAACACAACGCCGACGTTGACGATGGCGAACTACATCGGCGATCGAACGCAATCGTCCAATTTGCCATTAATATGGGCGTTATTGGAAAGAGCATCTATCCAAACTGTGGTGAGGTTTTGACATGGTACGATAGCGCAGTCCCTAAGCAAGTAAACGCTCAAATCCCGCTGCAAAAGATGAATTTCCGAAGTGAAAAAGTCGCTCCAAAAGGCGAATGAGGAGGTGGTCGCTCCGCCCATCAACGTGGATGGTCAGAAAATACGAGTCCAAAATTCGACTCGAACATGTCCAAACCTCTCAATTGCCTTCTAAGGAAATGAAGAGCCAACAATTTCAAACACATCATGCCCCATTTTGAACTTGTGTCATCAAACCACAAGTGTTGATGGGCGGAGCGACCACCGCCGCTTCTACTTCTGAAGCGATTTTCTAGCAGTTGATTGCACCTTTTGCAGCGGGACTTGGGCGCTTACTTGATCGAAGGCTCCACTATTGTACTTTATCAATACCTCACCACCCTCAACTTGGTATGGACGGTGCTCAAAGACCATAACAAAAAATTTCCTGGCAATCTGATCAATGCCCCCCCCCCCTTTCCCGCTCCGCAGCTTCAAAACTTACATCGTTTCAACAAACAGCTGAATATGCATATGATATCTGTTCTCCACTCTACGAGAGCAATATTCATACGAACGAAGACTAATTCACTAGACGGAGAGCAACGAACGTCATTCGACATCGTTGCCCGCTTCCTCGACGACGGTTGTTAATCATCCATCCCGAGCAATTCATGGGCCAATGTGAACATAGTTCTTATATGGATGGCTAGTTCTGACTAAGACACATGACAATAAGAAAAGGATGTGCAACTGAGCGCATCCGCTCTAAGCATATCAAACTTTCTTCTTCCTTCTTTTCGTCCTTAAAAGAAAGAGGAAGATGCGGGAAGATAGAGGGAGATGGTGGCGAGAAAGAGGTAAGGGGGAGGGGGGGGGGGGGTGCGGCGAAAGAGAAATTACAGCAGTTATTCCATAACAGTATCGATTCAGCAGCGTGAAAAACAAAGAAAATAATCTACCCAAGAGATCCAAAAAAACATGGTATTAGAAGCAAGAGAGTTTCAAGAATCTATGGAGTAGTTTATCAATTACTTCAGTTTCGGATTTTTTTCATATTGAAGCCATGGCTTTTCAAAAACCGAGAAATTCTAAAGAGCTCTAAAACCCACCAAAAAAGCCTAATTGTGCTCAAGAGAATTTCTCAAAAGTCTTCAGAGTCCTGAAAATCACACATAATGTTCGGAAAACTGAACGATGTTACAATCCCGGCAAAAAATCTGAATTTTTTGCCCTCCCCCCCCACTCTTTCCTTCTCTATTACATTAATTCGAATTACAGCTGCCTACCAATTAACTTTTACCATTACCAATACCCTATTCCCTGAGAAAATGATCTCCAAAACCAGTTCATACTAAATAAAGTCACAAACCAAACGGATGACAACCATTTCAATCGTTCGAAACCACAACTTGCCTTATCAGTCATTCTTCCCACTCTTAAAGATGCACACCAAGAAAATGTCACATTTAGTTAACAAATTAAATTATAGACAATGCGAGCGGACAATTAGTCGAAGAGACACTTGATTGGAGAACGCTTCTTATACGCTCCAAGAAAAAGAACGAAAGGAAGACAGATGCGAAGAAAGCAATTACGGATTATATGCAAGAAAGAAAAAAAAATCTCAAGAGGAAGGAGAGAGAGAATAAACAGCGCACCGAGTTCGTTTACATCAGGAAGAAGAAATGCCGACTGCGGACTATACACACATTTCTCGATAAAGAAAATTATGCTTTGCTTCGCTCGACTGGAGAGAAATCAGATGCATAAATCTGCAGAAAGAAGCCTGCGGCACTTTTTCTGGGAGACATAAATTTTCAAATTTCTCCTTCAAACTGAAAATTATGCACTTCCAGATAGTCAGCATAGATTTGACCGCAGAGAGGACACACGAAAACTTCGTTATTGCCTCTTTCACTTCCCGTTGAAACTATTCAGATGTAAAACATCCACCAAATTCCCAAAAAGGAAGTATATATTCGATGACTTGAAGCCAAGTGAGCCAAAAAAGGGAGAAGTTTTAAAAGCAAAGTGGAAAAACCTGACTGCATTCTCTCATTATTCACACTTCCAAATATAACGCTTCAGTGTCAGGTATGCATTTTACACCCTATGTGTAAATAAACGGCTCTATTGAATAAAACAGCGATAACTAGAGCTCTTAAGCCTTTACGACAACATGAAAAAGCTATGCGCGAACACTTCGTGAACGGGTTCACTAAAACCGCGCATCCAGCCATTTCTCAGCACTTCAGCCTTCGAGATGAACATCAAGACGACAAGTGAGTGAGGCATGCGCGAGATGGCTAACTCGCTTCTCATACAGGACTAAACGCTGTGAGCACGAGCCAAGAGGAGATGGTGAGGGTGTCTTCGTGTCGGCGGGGATGTTTTGCAAGCTGGCTGGCAGTGGCAATGAAGGCCTTGTCGTCGTTCAGCGCACGCGCAGGACACATATTCCGCCGCACACAATCAAAACAACAACGTTTATCGTAAACAACAATCGACGAAGTCAGGAAGAGTTAGGGGAACGGAGAATGGGAAGAAACAGGGGATGGCAGCCGCTAATGCGGAGTGTATTGCGTAGCCGCGCCGCGAGATGACGCGACGCGGCAGGCCACGGTCAAGAACTTGCAGATGTGATCCGCCTAGCTGACAGCCAATCGTTAGCGGACAAACTAGGACAGACAGACCATTTTACCAGATTACAATCAGACAGAACTAGCAGAGCTGCAAGCCCCGGTAAGTCTGCTCTTCAAATAGCACAATTACAGTTACCTGCGCGCGGCTGCGACGTGGCCATTAGCCACGACTACGTGCAGCATACCACTCAAAAGTCCGCATAAGGGAAACATGCAAGAAAATTCCGAATCTTGAACAATCTCAAATTCGCATGAGAGCGACTAACAAAGAAAAATAAAAAGCTAAGCCGCCAAAATTATTCGAACAAAAGACCGGTTAACCATCAATCAACTGGACTTATCAAGGAAAAGTAAGAAGAAATAAAGGCAGTAAAGATAAAATGTATACAAATCGACTCTTACCTGCTACGAAACTAGTCTACGGAAGAGAAGGAGAACACGTCGGGCCGCCGGCGTACACACAGCGCGCGAACACCTCGCCTCTGCTCTCCGTCGGGGCTGCTCGGCATGGGCGCGGCCGAACGATTCAAACGGCATTGAAAACCGAACATCAAATCGCGCACACCACACGCAGTTCGAGAACGTTGAAAACCAGTAATTTTTTATATTCAAGGAACCCTCTTCATCCCCTCCACGCCTCCCCCCCGGTCCACCCTTCCCTCCTACCTAAACTTCTCGCCTTCAGCAACTCTTTCCCTGAACAAGATGGTCCAACCTTCATAAATAATGAATTGAAGCCAATTAGCACACTGCTTTATCTCTGTCATAGCTAATTTCATTTCAAAAACATGATAAATGGTGAAACTCGCCCCTATGAAACGAAAGCGGTGATTGTGCGGGAGCGGTTACAGTGCGAAATGTTCGACGGGTTTTTTTTCACACAAGATGAAGGCATTAGCCTCAAAATGAAATACAGTTTCTGCGCTTGATAGGCATGTCCGTGGTTAGACTAGATGAAAAAGATAGCCAATAAGATAAAAAAGAGATTTTCAACGGTTTCTGGGAATCTCATAAAATCATAAAATCTCATAAATAATAAATTAAATGTTAATGATTCAACAATCCATCCATGAAAATTATAGAACAATACATACTAACTTAGTGCTAGATCTGACAATTTAAGCCAAACTTCAAAAGACAAACCAGTTTCTACAAGAAACGTCAAAATCTGCAAATAGATCAGAATACAATAAATCACGAACTGAATCACCTCCTTTCTTATTGCCTTTTCAACCTCTCAACTATTCTCAACTGATTCGTCTCAGCTGAGTGTTCGTTGGCTCCGGCAGAAAAACGGTCGTGAGCATTCGATTTCTCAAAAGCAGTAGACTTCTTTATCTATTTACACAATAACTTAGGTAAGATCGCTGTGAAAGTGATTCAACATTCGAAGCTCGAAAATTTGTTTGGAATGGAGAGGCGGGAAAGAAAAAAAAGGAAACCTAGCGCGAATTATAGAAAACATGGAGCCATGAATCATGAAAGTGAGGGTGAAAGTTTATTCCAAGACTGTCAGCAAAAATTTTGTTTGCATGAAAAAAGGAAACTGACGACAAATGCCGTTCTTTCAATCACTTTCAGCACTATCGATTCTACAAACTTCCTTCGGGAATAGTTTTACAAAAATGCAATACTTTGTCTAGGCAGTATGTCGTCCGAAAAAGATGAAATGAGATAACCGAACACATACTTATACACCCATACCAGAAAGAATGACTGATCAACCCAATATTTCAGTTGTGGTAGGTCTCTCTGGAAAAATGTGCTATCAGAGAAGATGGATGGACAGGGAAGTAATTTGTTCGCTAGAAGAAAGAGCTGAAAAATGGAAATGTGTTAAGATTCCTAGAGCTTGAGGGAAGCATAACGATCACAAAGAAAATAGTCTAGCTTTACAAATCTATTGCATCATCGGGCATCTTCACAGCTGTTCGTGCTACTTTCTTTTCTTTCTTCTCTTACACTTTTTCTGTTCTCACGTGATTTTCACATTCTGCAAAATGTTCTAAAAAAATTCTTTCAGGTGCAAGTAAGTTCTGTGATCATTCCAGCAGATAGATGAGTTGTTCAATCACTCACAGCTTCAGCAGCCATCCTTTCTTGTCTGATGGTCAAGTAGGCAAAGATAAAAAATGTTTTCACGTGGACTTCTCAATGCGGTATTCCGCCAATGGCTCGCTGGGCAAAATTCGAGCAAAGCGCAAGCAAATTTGGCAAGAGTACAGCTCAGTAAAACTTAAGCTAAATCTCATTTTTTAAGCCCATTTTACAGCAAAGGCGTCTGATGAAGTATAACTGTTTAAGTTGCCATTTCATAATTGTACAGGGTGTCCCAAAAAGATGTGCACACTGTTTGATTGTAAATAACTCTCTTGTAGTGAAGTGTTTCGAGAAGCTTTAGGTGCCATTTTGTAGAGCGAGGTTCAACTTAGATTTACAGTGTAGAGCAAACGCCGGTCTTTCATTCTTACTGTAGGAGTACGGTAGAAACTTCAAACATATGGTGTCATTGTGAAAAAAGGGGCCGTTTCAAAAATTTTCAAAAAAATGTGGAAATTTGTGTAATAGGGTTTTTATGGACCCTGAGTTCAATACCCAACTCTTTACAAGGTTGAAAAGCTTTCTAAACGGTGTAACCGCACTTTTTAGGAACATTTAAAAAACGTCTGCTACTGCTTACCTCGCATAATTTTTTAATGAAGCATTAAGAAGAGTTGCAAACTTCACATTTAGAAACAGCAACTCTAGTTAGCCCAGTGTGAGAGTTTTTAGGTTGTTTTGGTTTTTTGGAACAAAATATGGCCTTTCATGGCTCAAAACCCTCTTCAAAGTTTCTACCGTAATCCTACAGTAAGAATGAGAGATCGGCGATCCGCTCTACACTGCAAATCTAAGTTGAACCTCGCTCTACAAAATGGTTCTTAAAGCTTCTTGAAACACATCACCAGAAAAAAGTCATTTACAATCAAACAGTGTGCACATCTTTTTGGGACACCCTGTATATTTTATTGAAAAAAAAGTCAGGTGTATTCGAGACGACTATGTATATGGGCAACGAACACTTGCCGCAGCATGGGAATGGGACGATGCCAGAGCTTTTCGGGCGAAAGAGTAAACAATACGCGCTTTGTGTCACAAAGCGTTCTCTTCCTCTTCCCTACTTTGCACTGCGGGCGCTGCCCCGAACATCCCGCAGCTGAATCAGAATTTTGCGGCAATTTCCGCCTTTTAGCGGTTCGGATGCTCAAAAAACCATGCTGACATCATTGTCTATCCGGCAGGCAGCATACAGATCGCTAAATTACGTCAAAGCAGGGAGGAAAACAGACAATGGGTGAGAATTTAGCCCAGAATAGACTAAAATAACACAGTACATACGGCACAGAACATGTGACAGACATCACACTGAAGGTAATTTCTACAAAATCTGACAACCCCACATGAGCCCAAAACCTAGCGATTTCGGCATAGCAGAAAAAAATATCAAAAGAAATTTCGCGAGTGGCGAAGGCAGGGTGTCATAGAAGCTTTATCAACCCATCACAAACTAACTAACTTCCACTCTAAAGCTGACATTTTAGATTGATTGGCTTACATAGTCTCAGAATATACTTTAATGGAGGCTATAAATTATGCCTAGGACGCTTCGCTTCCGAATTCCACGCTAACTCTAGAAAAAAAGAGTGACAACTCGAATTCCCTGCTCAACTATCTAGTTTTCTTCAGATCAGATCTTCCCAAAGATACGCAGCCACCAAAAGTTTACGCTTAGCCAGAGTCAGATTTTCGAACAATTATCCAAGATCACAAATCTGATTATGTGTAGAGGTCTAGTTGTAAGAGCAATCTCAGCAGCTCCAAAATTTCTCCGCTAAGATACAACCAAAAACGAGAAAACGCTGAGGATTTTTCATTCCTGTCATCGATCTCCGAAGATGAGCAGTAACTAGATCATGCTCTATTACGTTGCTACAATTGAAAGTTCTTTCTAGTTCTGTCATGGAGACGTAAGTTGATGAAGTTGTCCACATTGGAATCAATGCTCTTATTTTATGCACATTTCTAGTCACTCTTTCAAAAGATTCGACGATCCAGGATTTATAAAAGATGCCTCGAACTAAGCCCCACTCTGCAACATAATCGGGAAATTAGATTGCTCAGTCTGATAGACTTTTTCTTCTTATGCAAGCGAATTGGTATTGCACGCAAGCTACAGAATAAAAAGATATCACTCCAGCAATCTCTGCTGCCCCGTATAAGGAAAGAAAAGTAATGACAGGAGACAGATAGACTGATTTGTCTGATAGGGACATCACGTCCTGTCTACCAATTTGCTGCAAATTGGATGAAAGTGATAAACAGCTTGGCTTTCATACTTCCGTCAACAGCAGTCTATACAGCCAGCAGGATGTGCGCTCAGTTAGGACTGATTGGCATGAACTTTGGAGACTACAACACCATTTAGCTAAGCGTTTTATTTCATAACGGATCCATACGATCACTGTTCTCATGAGGTAGCACAGAAAACAAAACTCCAGCTAAAAACACAAGGAAGGTAGGGTCGCACCACGTCGACGGTACTGCAGGCAGCAGCCGAGATTGACAAGAGAGGGTTGGTCGGTGGCCTGGTTGGTGTTAGGGGAGGCGAGTTAGGTATATAGAGTATGTGAAATGGCGATGTTCAGGCAACAAATGGAAAACTACAGAGTCAACACATCCAAAACTCGACCAAAACAACAATAACCGGGCCTGGGACGGAGTGGGTGGCGGTGGCGGTGGCGGCGGCGGCGGCGACGGCGGCGGCGGCGGCGGTGTTGACGATGGTGTGCGTTCTTAAGCGCGCTGCTGGCAGCGGCATTAGGAGCAGTAGATGATGGAAAATGTTCCAAAGGGTAGTGCTTATTCTTTGAAGCTTTCTCCCCCCCCCCCCCCCCCTCGCGCCGCCATGCTCAGTACCAGAGTCCATCAAAACTTTTTGGCGGAGCGAGATGTAAACGCTTAAAATTGAAAGCTGATGATGGCGGCGAACAGGAGGGTTGCGGCACCCTATCACGATGTCTTTCATCCATTCCGCTAAAAGAAGGGGACCTACGCGCAGCCCACTGCCAAGAAAGCTTCCTAAAACCTACTGGAATTGAGCCCAAGCCAATACACACCTGCAAAACGAAACATTACTGGAAGAGAAACATCCAAAACGCAAAAGGGCCAATCAATACGAGGTGTGCTGAGTGAAACAGGTCGACACTATGTGCAAAACAACCATGTGATGTAGTTGAGAGGTAGCCACCCTTCATGACATCACTGCCAGGACTGACATCGGAGCTTGAAATCCTCCGAGTTTTACACCACATGCATGCTCTCCCACTTTCCAAAAAAAAAAGTAAAAAGCTTCATATCCTGAGCCATGCCAAACTCTACAAAAACCCATTTCTCGTGCAGTCTACTGGCGAAGAATTACTGTACCCCACAGTGCCGCTCGAAGACTC